TCGTCCTCGCAGGACAAGATCCTGTCGAGGCTGAAGGCGAAGCTCTTCCTGTTCGAGGCTTCCAATGCCAAGGGTCTGCTGCGGCAGCTGTCGCCCAAGTACAAGTACGTTATTTGGGTAGCATCAACGGCAGATGCTGAGACGGCGTTGATCCAGGGCAAGGCCAAGCACAACATCAGCATGACCGAGGTCGTCATGACCCGTTTGCTGGGAGGATACTTGGCTGGGCCCGAGTGGATGGCAGCTTGTTTTGACACAGACCACAGCTGGTAATGCCAGTCCTCTCCCTAGACCCCGCCCTCGAACGAAGCATGGAACTCGTCCTCGGTGACAGCGTGACCTACAAGAGCGACGCCTTGCTGGTGATCTCCTTGGCCAGCTGTGCGAACCGCTGGACAGTACGGGCGAAGAGATCTGAACTGTGCCTTGGCACAGCTTGTTGCCGTGCAAGCCATGATTAAAGGACGCTTGTTTAAATACTGACCAGGAGGAAGAAGCGTTCCTGGGTGGTCGTCGGCGACACGCACAAGGTCTCGGTTGCGTTCAAGAACAAGGGAGTCGTGGTGACTGAGTCCAACTTCCTGGTGCACTTGAGCAAGCCGCTCTGATTCAATTGTGATGACATTCAGTGAGGTCACAAAACAAAACAAATTCAGTTTAGGGCCTTTCGTCTACGGTTTTCATGTCGGCAGGCAAATGTGCATTTGACCTTCCAAGGTGGTCTACGCTCCCAGTCATCACGTGACGCCCTCGCCAAGGAGTGGTGTCAGGACGCCCTCGCCCAGGACTGGTGTCAGTGCTGCCACTCGTACTTACTCTATTAAAATCATCAGAGCAAGCTTGACATGAGCGACATTGTCAGCCATGCAGAACGTGTGGTGGGGTGCTCGTCGGCGACTACCCCAAGGCAAGGCCAACCTGCTTTACGCAGAAAGCATCCAGGAGGACCTTGCCGTGGTTTCATGATTGTCAGTCTAAGGTGCTCCGCCTTCCAAGGTGGTGTACAGTCAGTCCCAGTGTTCCCATGACAACGACACTGCCAGGTGCTCGTGAAATCAACAAATTCGTCAGATGGTTGATGGGCCGACATCTTTGCCATTTGCGGCCTGGATTCTTACAGTGAAGAAGGCGGGTTGGTGCGACGTTTCTAATAGTGGGCTGAGTCAGAGTCCATGATGCATGAACAAGCAGGGTCATGTGATCCAATCATGGAAGTTTCCCCGATTCATTCTCCTTGTGAAGGTCCGTAACAGCACTGCATATGCATGGTGCATGGGCTTCCAATGTGGTCCAAAATGCTCCTGGTCCTGGCAGGATGCCCTCGCCACTCCTGGTCCTGGCAGGATGCCCTCGCCACCGGTAGACAATGCACAGCACAGAGCCTGGGCCACTGAAGTTATAAAGTATGATAATTTTCAACATGATGCGACACAGCTACTTATTTCAAGCCAAGGCAGACATTGTGTAACATTATGTTTTAAATATTTGGCTGGAAGCTGTGACATCTCATTTCTGCGGTCCAAAAACCCGGACCCAGCACGACATCGGGTGTTGTGTGGCCAGTAGTGCCAGGCAGCGCGAGGAAAATCTGTGTGCGTGCATGTGTGTCTGTGTCTGTGTGTGTGTGTGTGTGTCTGTGTCTGTGACTGACAGGCACTGGAGGTGAAGTTAGGGAGAGCTGTGAGCCAGAGAGTATCGTTTCATACATCCGATCCTTGGCTGTTGTGTTCTTGCAGGTTGATGCCGAGAGTTGATGACAGCCGGGGGCCCTGGATTTGTCATTGGAAGCCGTGCAACCCGATTCCATAAAAAAGGATTCGGTTTTCAGAAGTCGATCACAAACGCAACCCTCCAGACCCCCTACATCCTTGCACACATGCCCGGGGCCGGCCTGCAAGGATGTACCCCCCCTGGGGGGTATACATTTATGACTGGGTTTAACATAAAGATTCTAACCCTTCGTTTCCTGAAACCGATCACAAACGCAACCCCCCGGGACCCCTACATCCTTGCACACATGCCCGGGGCCGGCCTGCAAGGATGTACCCCCCCTGGGGGGTTACATTTATGACTGGGTTTTGTCAAATCAGAATCCTTTTTTTTTTCGACCCCTAATGTAACGAGCCTCTTTGCCCGTTAAAGACAGTGTTGTGCAGCAGGGCCAAAGGTCTAGCAACGCCAGACTGAGTATCTCTTACTAAATCAGGTCCAAGCCCGCCGCAGCTGCAGTCCTCGTCCTCGCAGGTCTGCTGCTCAGCAACTGTCACTGTCATCCGGATCTCACGTGTCAGCTGGTTTGCATGTGTGGTGCTCGGCATATGCCTTCTTACAACAGCTCAAAGATCCCAGAGCATTTTGCTCAAAGTTGGCCCTGCGGTGCTAGCAGACGGACAGGCGAGCACCATGGGCAAGAAACCGGAGGCAAAGGGCAAGGCCAAGGCGAAAGCCAAGGTCAAAAGCCCTGCCAAACCAAATTCGAAAGAGGCCTCGACCTCGGCGGATCCATCCATGTCAGCCGCCCTCGTCGATGAAAACGGCGAGACAGCCACGCCCCCGCCCCCGTCCCCGGAGACGGTGATCTTGAAGCTTGGTCAGTTCAGTAATAAAGGGAGTCGCTGTCGCAGGCAGCAGATTTGCCACATGTGCCCACAGCAGACTTGCCAGTGCCACATGTGCTTGTTGAGGATCAATGAGGCCGTCACCTTTCTGAAAAGGACGAGACAGTGGGTGCCGTCAGGGAAGAGCTTGGTGGCAGGTGTGGAGTCCTTCCCCAAGAACTGGACAGGAGCAATGGTCGGCAAGGCTCGCGACTGACAGCATAGCGAAGCACAGATCAGTCGCAGTCTTTAGTGTAGTAGACTTAGAGCGCTTTGAGTGAGTGACCCGCAGGTGGCCAATTTTTCCGGGTGTTTGGCCGACCTCGATCTCGTCCACGGAGAGTTGCCGCCGGTTCCGGTTCTGATGGACGCCAAAGATTACTGGTGGAGCAAGAGCCGCGTCCTCGCCAGCGGACCCTTGATAGCCTCCACCTTTGCCACGGAGGTTTCCACAAAAGGCACCCTCGTCCTCGCAGAGGACAGTCACAAGATTCTGTCTTTCGTCCTCGCATGGAAGGAGGCGGTCGAGTGTGACAAGGCCAGGATGAGTTTTGTCGTGTGATCAATAACGACTGTGTCACATGTATCAGTATCAGAGCCCTGTCAGGGCTCCGAGTGCTCTTCGAAGTTTGCGGAGCTGGCTGGGATGGTTCACATTGTCGTGACCCGACTGTTTGGCGGCGAGAAGACGATCATTCGGATTATCCAGTCGGGGGAGGTGACCTGACACAACACTAGCCATTTTATGTGTCTGAGTAGTGTTGTTTGCACATTTTCTTGTTGAAGCCGAGAAGCCAAGGACATCCAGAAGAAATGCCTCGAGCAGGGCAACCACCTGCCGTTCAACTATGCAACAAGACTCGCAACACTCAAGGCCGCCCTCGTCGCAGTGGCTTGCATGACATTGATTTTCGAAGTAATCTCTGATCAATGACACCTGTCGTGCATCCCTGTCTGTGTGTTTTAATTTTCGTCAAGGAGCACCAGCCCTCGTCCAACAAAGACATCTTCAATTTGCTGCAAAACAAGATCACAGCGGGCAGCGCAGAATCCACGTTGAACACAGACGATCAGGCCTGTTCCTAAATTATTGTCATAATGGTCATGCTCTCAGAAGTCGGTCTGTCTGTGCCGACAAAGGTGCAAAAGCTGCTGGCGATGTACAAGAAATCCGTGGAAAGCGGGCTGCTGGACCGGTTGCGATCCACACAGGTCGTAAATGGGAAAAGGACATGGTTGTCCTATTGGGCCATAGTCACACGCGTGAGCCCTGGCTGCTAATGGGAGGTCCTTTGCGTTTCTGCTAAGCTTTAGAATAATATTTAATTTAATGGCATTTATTGTCGTGTTCTCATGACAAGCCAAGGTCCTCGTCCTTGAAGCAGACGGCTGAGTTTAAGTACGTCTTTGCGCTGCTCACTCAGGCCCTGAGTTGGGAGGTAGACGCCCTTGGTAGTTCAGTGTCGTCTGCAGAGTTCTGCGTTCCTTGGCAGGAGATGCGACCTGAGTTCGATCTGCCCGGGGATCTGCTGGTGATGCCCTTCACCAACGTCCTCGACCTCAAGAGGGATCAAGCAGCAGAGGCTTCCAAAACACATGATGCTGTCAAGTCAATCAGTTGAGAATGAAGTTTCTTCTTTGCAGGCGGCCAACGCACTCGTCCTGCGGTTGAAGGTTCTGCGGATGCTCTTGCATGCGGTGAATAGGTCCCCAGTTAGTAGTCTTTTAATAATTTTATATTTATTATTATTAAGTCAATGTTAATAATAACTTGAACTATCTACAGTTAGGCTTGCACGGGAACTCAGGTGAAGCAAACCGTGGAGGCAACCAGCGATCCCTTGCAGGTGAAGTTCTACAATGCCTTGCAGACCTGCCAGGATCCCTTTGCCTGGGGCCACCAAGAGTGGAGCATCATCGGGGAGATGTCGTCCTCGTGCTCTGCGCCCTCGTCCTCGTCCTCGTCCTGTGCCTCGATGGTGAAGACGATCAACGCGATCCAAGCAGGGGTCCACGACTCAAGCTTCTTCAAGGCGGTGCAGAGCTCTGCCAGGGAAGAGCATCCCGAAGTCCGGGCTCTGGTGTCAGGCTGCCTGGACAGTTGGCGCATGACCTCGTCCTCGCAGGCCCCAGAGCCGGCAGTCGAGAGCCAGGACGGCGCCGAGGAGGACAGCTACGTCGACGTCACCGCGGAGATGATTCCGACGCTGGCCACGGAGTCGGACTCCGAGAAAAGGAGAAGACTAGCCATCTCCGCGGCCAAGGCTGGCAGGTTAAAGTTAAGTTGCTTTCATTGTAACTGTTCAGTCCAAAATAAAAATGTAGTCCTTATTATATTAAATGATGTCTTGCAGGAGGAGATGGCCTTCTACTTGCAGGCCCTCGTCTTCGACCTCGATCAGCCCTCGTCCAAAAAGGGACTTGTGGAGGCACTGTCTGGCAACACTTTCTTGAAAGTGTCAGACGGCGCCAAGAAGACAGGAACGGCCTGGATGTATGACAGCGCTCTTTTTACAGAGCCCTCTGGAGTGTATTGCAAGCTCCACAACCCGTACACCAAAATGCCGGTGTGACTTGTATGATTGAGTGTGCTTGGGTTTAGTACCAGTACTAGTTCAGTACTACTACGGCGAATTGCTACTTAGCTACTTCGAACGACACAGTGTTACAAATTTTAAGTTTGCGGACAGGTGTGGCTCAGACAAAGGGGATGGTGACTGATGCTATTCACAGCCAGCGTGAAATTGTATTTGTTGCAGACGGCTAAGTTCATTATTGTATCAGTTGATCACTCACCAAGCCTAGGTTCAACAAGGCGGCCTGGTCGATCTTTGTCGAGTGCTTCGACGCCCTCGCCAACACAGAGGAGCTTAGCAACTCTAAACCATACAGTACAACTCCTAGACCTTATTAAACTCCAGACTCACGCCGCTGGATTCTCACAGTCACAAGTTCACT